CAGGTTTTTGGTTGGGGCAGGCCTACTGTTCTAACTGCTGTGATCCCTCTTGGCTGGACAGCCCTTTACAAATGGCCTGATAATAATGATGGTTTGTTTACTGAAAGCACAGTAACTATGGGGAAACAATATGGGGACACTGAGGTTTTTCCGAGACCTTCTTTTAGCTGTATGCTAAAAGATGCTTCCAGAAGGCTGTGTCATGACCAACATATACCTTAGTGAGCTTTAGTTACTTTCTTTTCCTTTTCTTTTTTTTTCCTCTTAGGGCTATTTTCATGCTACACTTAGGCTCAATTTGCAGAGCAAAAGGCTCTCTTTAAATGACTTTGGGGAATGGTTATTTTCCAGAAGGACCTTCTCAGTCTTCTTGGAGTCACACAGATGTGTCTGTAGAACCACCCTGACCCTCTTCTTTATAGTAAGGGGTATGAATACTGCCAGAAGAGTGTGTCAGATCATCTGCAGCCCACAAACCGCTCACTTCCACCCCCATGGTTGTTGACACGGATATAGGGTGGATTTCTTTCTCTTTTTAATTTAGCCTTCTTAGATATTTCATCCAGAAAGTGGCCCCTACTGTGCACATAGGTCAGCTGTCTCCCCTTTACCTTAGAGTCTCTGTGTATGAGATATAAAAGCATCTGTTCCTGGATCTTAAACACAGCAAGTGGACACTGAGTGCAGATGTGGAAGGCAAGGGGCTTTACACTCATGATTTCATTAATTTCCTATAATCGTAATGATCTCCATTTTAAAACCATGAAAATGGAAAATCAGTAATTTGTCCAAAGCCACTCGCCCAGCAAAGCTGGAGCTGGAATTTCAAAGTAGGACAGATGGGCCATGGAGCACTCTTAGCTACCATGAAATGCTGACTATTGAAAATCACCACAAGGGGGAGACCTGCCCTCATGTACTTACACTTAAAGGCAATGTTTTATTTTTAAGGAGTTTGTGTGTGTGTGTGTGTGTGTGTGTGTGTGTGTGTGTGTTGGGGTGGGGGGAACAACACAGTTTATACATTCCATTTCCACCCACATTTCTTCTTTTTTTGATAGTGCTGGGGATGGAACCCAGGACCTCATGGTGACTAGCACTCTATCATCAAGCCACACTCAGCCTCCAAATTTTCTGTTCTAGATCAATCTAAAAATGTCTACCTATATCAGCTGTATACAGGTCTGAAAAACAAAACATTCAAAAGGAAATTGCTGTTCTGTGAATAAAAATACATGCTCAATGTCAAATAGGAAGTACATTTTCTTTTTTGAAAAGGATTGCTTTTAAGGAAAACTGACAAAAACTTGGCATTCAGTTGCCAAGGATTCAGTGTTATAATTAAACAGATCATTTGGTGCAACAGGTCAGAACTTACCACAGGAATTTTCTTCAGAAATATGGATCCCCCAGCATTAGAGCTCAGGACAAAGCTCAGAGGATTCATGGGTTTAGTTTTCTTATTTCTCTGTTATCTGACAAATAATCAAGGTGGTAAAGGAGTTGTGATAGAATGCATAGGACAAAGGCTCCATATCTAACAAGTGACACCTGGGTCTCAAACGTAGACATTCCTCTCTGACCCTGGACACATGTAAGTTCTGAATGTGTGATGAGGCTAGGCTCCATTTTAACTGGCAACCTTGGGCAGACTGAAAGGCAGGGAAAAATGTATGAGCCATAAAATAAATCTTATCTCCACCCGAGGGAATCAACAGCACTTGAAATGTTTCATACAGGAAACGTGAGCCTAATGATGGACACATGGTGAACCCAATCATAATCCAGGGGACCCGACTCCGGGTCCTGTGGGCCATAGAACACAGAGTCGTTGGACTTCACTGCATTATGTCCCATGGCACCTATGGGATGGGCAACAGGATCGGACAGGCCACTGGTGTACTCATCCTGAGAACCTGTGCGGCCCAGCCATGCCTAGGCAAACAGAAGAAACTTTGGCAGAAAGCTTGAGGGGAAGGAGGGAGTGGGAGGTGAAAATGGGGGAAGTTCAGAGGCCACAGATGAGCCTCAAAGGAGAAAGCTTGACAGCATCGAGGCTAAAGGTTGCTCTTGTTAGCGACGGAGCGAAAGTGTACTATATGTTGAATTTCACTGGCAGCTTTGACGTGCTAGTTTAAATGTGTAGCGCCTGGGGAAACCAGGTGCCTGATTATCTGGAATTATTTCTTTTTATTTACAAAAGACAAGATGACTAGGCACGCCAAAATGGTAAATTTCAATATAAGCATGGCCATGTCTAAGAACACTCCAATTGGTTGCGACAGGCAGCCACAGTGGGGGCCCTGCTGAGGCCCATGGGAAGTCCATACATGATAATCCACCAAAACGGCTGAGCTAAAGCAGGGTTGAAGAGGTACCAGCAAAGGTGAAAGATTTCAACAAAGGAGAGGTTGTGGTGAAGATATACGAATGAAACAAATTTTGCATTGTAAAGGCTTGGCTGTATAAAATAGTCACATGCTGCTGTCGTTTGGATCTATAATATCCCGGAAAGTCCTGTGTGTTGAAGCCTTGGTCCCTACTAGGGTGCTTTGGAGGTGGCAAAACCTTGAAAGTGGGGCCTAGTGGAGAATCTTCAGGTCACTGGAGATACACTCTTAAGGGGGATTGTGGGACCCCAGTCTCTTCCTCTACTTTCCACTTTCTGGCCATGAGGTGAGGAAAGGTTTTGCATGGCCATGGTGTGCTGTTCTATCGGTGAGGCCCAAAAGCGATGGGTCTGCATGATCGTGGGGTGTCCTTGCCAGAATTACAAACCAAACAGATATACTGATTAGTTCAAGCTTTTTTTCCTTATGAGGGTCCAGTTACAATTTTTGGATCCCTAAATAGAGAACCAAAAGACAAGCCTTCCTTTGCACCATCCTTTTGAAGAGGTCTGTTAGCACATTCACACTGAGAAATTGAGACTTTCCTGTGGGTGGTAACTATTTAAGTTCATGTTCAAAGTGATGGCCTCATGGACATTTTCACATGTGTATTTCATTGCCCTTTTGCCTCCCCTGCCATGTTCTGCTTCTATGGCACACATATGTGTGGGTTTGTGGTTAATTCAGATTTCACATGAAAGAGAACATACAATATTTGTCTTTCTTTTTACTGCCTCATCCTGTCCCTCCTCCCTGTAGACTTCCTCCTCCCCCACATAAGTTCCTCTTCCATTTCCAAATCATTCATATACATATATAGAAACATAAGAGAAGATGTGCTGAGTCTGGCTTATTTTGTGTGGTTTTGTGCCCTTTATTCATGGCTCTTAAATCGTTTCCTCTTTTCTCATTGGGATAAGGGCCCACCTGAAGCATCTAGTGTTGCTGATGACCTGAAGTACTTTTCCAGGCTAACTATGTCCAGATGAAGTGACTTCTGGGGCTTTTCTGGGCGCTCAGCATAGCTCTTTCCTCAATGGTGGCCATCTGGATGAATGTGTGAACTTGCGCTAGTCTAGATAATGCCCACAGTAGCTGGCGGCAGGGAGAAGCCCAGAGAAACAGCAATAGGAAATCTACCCATACATTTGAGTTTTGGTTGGAAATATCGTTATGATAGTCCCTACCCCTTTCTTCTTTTCCTTCCTGTCTCTCCCCATCCCAATGCCATACGATGTTGACACAGGTCAAAATATTTTTCTTAAGCATGTTCTTCATGATAACAAAGGGAACTGTGTTATTGATTTAAACAACAACAGCAGCAATCTGTCATATTAATTCTCTCATAAAATCTGAGTTGGTCAAGGTATAATTGCTAATAAATAAAAGTATTTTAATAACATGATCATCTTTGCAAGTCACCTAATTGGCTTATAATTTGGTTCTCATTTGGCCAAACTCTATCTTTTCTTCTTGGAGCAGTGGAAACCGGCAGACTTCCTGCATTCCACTTGCAGATGTCCTAGGAAATACTTGAAAGTGCTGCCTGCTTTACTGTGTGCCCACGCCAGCCCAGATGTACCTGTTGTGGTACAGCAGTTACCCAAGCCACTCCCTCAAAAACAAATGAAGTGAT